TCTTCTATACGAAGACCTTCCGCTCTTCTATACGAAGACCTTCTGATCTTCTATACGAAGACCTTCTGGTCTTCTATATAAAAGACCTTCTGGTCTTCTATACGAAGACCTTCTGTTATTCTATACGAAGACCTTCTGATCTTCTATGAGAAGACCTACTGCTCTTCTAAGAGAAGACCCTTCTGGTCTTCTTTAGGAAGTCTTTCTAGTCTTCTATTAGAAGTCCTTCGTGACCTTCTATGAGAATACGAACTTCTGGTCTTCTAAGAAAAAACAACCTTCTGGTCTTCTATCAGAGGATCTTCTGTGAGAAGATCTTCTACTTTTTTTCATCTGTGAGAAGGCTTCTGGTCTTCTACGAACAGACCTTCTAGTCTTCTATAAGGAGACCTTCTGGTATTCTGTGAGAAGATTCTCTGGTCTTCTACAAGATCTTCTGGTTTTATATAGGACGACCTTTTAACCTTCTATGAAAATTTCTTCTGTTTCTCCTACCAAAGGTGCCCTGGTTTATTTGGAGAAGATCTTCTGTTTTTCTATAAGAAAATTTTCTGATCGTCTGTAAAAGTTCTGGCCTTTGACAACCTCTTAAATTTTTCTATGCTCTTTTCACTTGGTCAGTTTCCTCTCCTATCAATAAACTTCATTCCCCCCTCCCTCCATCTTCCTACCACCATTAAAACTTTAACACTCTATATTCTTAGTCATCTTTCCAAAATGACAATGACAAATGTAAGTACATCGAATGAATACGCCCCAAAATCTCATGCGGTTTGAATTCAAAAACTTTTCTCCACTTTCAATTCAACCACAAGTCCGTCTCTACATATCTCTGTTATGTCTTTATTAAGACATTCTTGCCATTTAAAACGACGATTTCATTTATTAATGACAACATAAATTATGTTCATAATTTCATCACTTGAAATTAATAAAATAATCCACAGGCTGGCAAAAAGGTTCAATTCTCAGGGTAATGGATGTAATAAAAAGAGAATACAAACACACTTTTTGGAGTTGAGTAAAGCTGAGATTTTATCGGCGTTGTGAAATGATCATAAGAGAAAAATGTTCTTAATAATAATGAAAATGTTAAAATGTGAAATGTGGGCGAAATGGCAATATGAGATACTCTACAGTGAGGGCAGGACGAAAATATTCAAAAACGGGGAATTTTAGGAAAAATCTGGCAAATAAAATAGTTAAAGACATTACAAAAGAGTTAGAAAACAACCCAATAAATTAGGTTTTGAAAAAAACTTAAATATAATTTGGAATTTTAAAAATGTCTACGGATTTTAACGCAGAATAAATGGGTTTCAAACAGTGACCACTCAATATGACTCAATTGTCGAATTTTTCATCGACAGCCACAAATACACCATGAATATTTGTCAGACTGTCCTTAAAAATATCCCTTAAAAATTAACAACATTTATTATTTTAAAAATTTAGGAATACTATTTTTTAAATATTTTTCTAAAGCCAAGATTATATCTGAATTTTTATTTCAATAGTCACTACTTTCAATTATCCAATTTGGGAATCCCCCCCAAAGATATATCCATTTTTTCCAACCCTTGAGCTTACCAACTACTTTATCCATTAAATCCAAATCCTTGAACTAACTAAGCATGCTCCCCACTGCATTGTAGAGTCCCTTCCATTAAACAAGCAGCCTTCGCCAAAAGGTTCCGCATAGAGTTGACGATCGCCAACTACCGCTTAACCAAACGGCAACATTGTTTATAAACAAAAATTAATGATAGCAATTTGCAATGCAACATACATTGTTGCATGCACCGCAACCGCAAGAATACTCCGCGATGCATTTCAAAGAAGAACACAATCCATTGAATACTATTAAACATCCTTTATAGAAAGTTATAGGACATAATAAAGTATTGATACGAATACAAAACTATAAATATTTTATTTATAGAACGAGAGAAAAGTATTCAACATTTGCATAAAGTTGGCTGGGAGCGTTTGAAACAAAATCTATGACAACAATTTTCAGAAACTAAATGCGAATCTGGTAGGCTGTACCTTTGGAAACACTTGTCTTTTTTACCTTTTCTCATGCCTCTACCAACTAATGTCATTCAAATGCAATAAAATAGAGATTTTTCCTGCCAAATGGCGAAAAATGGTAGTTGGACAGAAGTGGCTGCTAATGTTGCGAATTTGTGATCATTATAATGAAATATGTTCTTCAAAGTATCGTTAACTGTCGTCAATTTATATTGAAATCACCTTCACCTCGATGGAATGTTCTAAGTGAAAAGAACTGCAAATATTCGGTCTGTTCGGTGCCATTTTCAAACAAAAAAAACGTTCTTAAAAAGTTAAAAATCATTTTTAACCAATAACGGAAAAGTTCATAGTCGACCTGGGCCGACTATATGATAGCCTACACCACTATATTAAGTGAGCTACCATAATAAATAAACGTTTAAATTGGATATTGTGAAGTAAAATCGTAAAATCGGATGAAAAGGAATATGAATCAAATCTGAATCAATCTAGATAAAATTTGGCAAAAGTATTTCTGGACTATATCTGAGACGTATAACATAAAAATAACCATTTGGGCTGATATTAACTACGAAAAATCTGAACTCGGAAAAAGATAGATGGGAGCTTTGTCTAAATCTGCACCGACATCCATAAAATTTGGCAGAGGTATTTTTGAGCTATATGGTACCACATATCCAAATATAATTGTTTTGGAGTAGAGGACTTAAAAACCAAATCGGATGAAAAATATATATGGGAGCTACATCTAAATTTGAACCGATTCTCGCCAATTTTAATGGAGTATTTGGCCCAAACCAAATACTTTGTGTACAATTTCATCTCAATCGGAAAATAAATGCCACCTGTACTTTGTTTACAAAAATACATGAAGAGAATGTAATAAATGTATGAAGATCAGCAAAAAACGTATGGGTATACAGGGTGAGATAAAAAAACTGCAACAAAGTCAAACGCCATAATTTTTATTTTTTTTTTTTTTTTTTTGTAATTTTTAAGGATGCAGATATGTCGGAAAAAGCATTAAATTTTAGAATAAGTTTAGATTTCTTCGAATTGGTCACCTTTGGCTCGAATTATGGCCTTCAAACGGCCAATGAAACCGTCTCACGCTGCCCGAAAGATTGATCTGTGGTATTTTGGCCCATTTGCGGCGAAACGTTTGCTAGAGGTGATCGACACTTTGGTATTTTTTAGTTCCAAACTTGCTTTCCAAAATACTCCAGAAACAATAGTCCCACGGATTGGTATCCGGAGATTTTGGTGGCCATTGTGCGCTGGACATGAAGCGAGGAACCTCATTTTATAAGCATTCTTGGGTGACGCGTGCTGAATGCGATGGTGGTCCTGTTGGAATGTCCAAGGTCTGCGGCCAAAATGTTTTGCGTGGCCAAGGCTTCAATGCACCCTCCAGAATATTTTCGCCATAATATTTGGCATTTATTCTGATGCCACGGTCGATTAAGACGAGGGGAGAGCGACCATCGGCTGTTATGGCGGCCCACACCATCATCATGACCGGCGCTTGATTTCTAGTGGCCAATCGAATGGTACAGAAAGTTTTCTCAACGGCAACGAATGTTTTCTCATCGGAGAAACCCAAATTTGGCAGTTCACCACTTTCGGCCAAGCGAAGAAACTCTTTAGCTCTTTTGAGTCTTTTTCTTTCTTTTTCGGTTTCGATTTTACCCTAACCTCATTCTTCAATATTTGCCGAATGGAATATTGCGATACGTTCAGCTCACGAGCCATTTTGCGGCCACTGGGACGCGAGATTCGATCAAGTCGTTTCTTCACTTTTCGAACCATTTCTACTGATGTTGCTGTTTTCTTCCGCCCACTTCCTTGATGTCGGGCTACGCTACCAGTAACACGGTAACGAACGATGATACGAGACACAAACGATTCATTCACATTTAATAGCTGGAGTGTTCTACCGATAGCCACTTTTAGTTTGGCAGCAAAAACCAAGGTTGATTTAGCAATGTACGTCCGACTGTTTTTCTATTCTAATCTCGCTTTATTTGTAATAAATGCAGGTCCACGATTTCGTATAGTCCCCATATAACGGTACCTCCCGATATTCGATTTTGATGATTTTAGACAAGACAATATTCACCGGAATTGTTTCAAATTTCGTATTTGATGTTCAGAATCGGTACTACAGCCAATGACAAAAAAAAAATACTTATGCAGGTCCTCGTCTTCGTATGTCCCCCCATATAACCGTTTATATTTACCCGGAATTTTTCGAAAAAAAATTAATTTTTTTAATTCCTTCCAACTTAGCTTAGCTTACCTGTTTTTTACTTGTTAGCTCTTATTTCATAATCTGCTGTATTTTTCCTGTAATTAATTATTTTTTTTATGTTGAGCAGTGTTATTTACTCCTGTCTTTTTATACCCTCCACCTTTCTATGGAGAGTATATTAACTTTGTTATTCCTTTTGTAACTCTTCGAAATATTCATAATTGTTCACCAATAGACAGGTAAAATAAATAGGCCATATCGGTCCACGTTTTCGTATGGCGCCCATATAACAGTACCTCCCGATATTCGACGTTTTCATGATTTTAGCGACATTATTTACCGGAATTATTTTAAATTTCATATTTATGCAGCTCCCGATATTCGGTATTTTGATGATTTCAGCAACATTATTCACCGGAATCGTTTTAAATTTCGTAGTGGAAGATCTCAATGGTACTACAACCTATGGCAAATAATTTCGTATGCATGTCCACGTCTTCGTATAGCCCCATATAATGGTTTTAATATAAGTGTTAGTTTTCGGATTTTTTTTGAAAAATTTCAAGTTCCTTTCAAATGGTGGAGGGTATTAAAAATTCGACCCGGCCGAACTTAGCTGCTTTGTTGTTATTTTTGTTCATAATTATTTTTTTATTCTCTCAATCATTTTTATTTATAACGTGTCAATCAATGGTTTTTATTCCCTCCCTAGGTCACAATTATCCTAAAAGATGTCAACGATGAAGCCCCGATCTTTGTTAGCTCCAATTATACAGAAATCCTGGAAAACATTCCCCTCAACACGGTAGTAATGGTGGTGAAGGCTGTCGATCGTGATGAAGGCAAAAATGGTTATATCGAATATTCACTGGACGGCAGTGGTAGTGGTGAGAGCCACGTGCCCTTTAGCCTGGGTCCCGTGGATGGTCTACTACGAGTCTCTGGTAAATTGGATCGTGAAACCCAAACCTCCTACCTACTAAATATTACAGCACGTGATCGTGGAGAACCGCCGAAAATGACTCAAAGTCAGCTGTATGTGCGAGTACTGGACGAGAATGATAATGCTCCGATATTCGATCCGAAACAATATACAGCCTCAGTGGCGGAGAATGCCAGCATTGGTGCCATGGTCCTACAGGTATCTGCCACAGATATTGATGATGGAGCCAATGGCCGTGTGCGTTATTCCATTGTGGCTGGTGATGAGAATCGTGATTTTATGATTAGCGAAGATTCGGGAATAGTGAGAGTATCGAAAAATCTCAACTATGAAAGGAAGTCACGCTATGTCCTTTCCGTTAAGGCTGAAGATTCCGCCGCGGATTTAGGTTTGGCCTATGAAAATGAAAAAGGTCGCCAAAAGCTGACACATTTATTTGAGAATCGTTATGATTTGGCCGAAATGGTCATTGTGATCACGGACATCAATGACAATCCACCGACATTTTTGGACTCACCCTATGTGGCATATGTCATGGAAAATGTTGTGCCACCCAATGGCGGCTATGTCCTCAGTGTCCAGGCCTATGATGCGGATACGCCACCGTTTAATTCATTGGTTCGCTATTTTCTCAAAGAAGGTGATACGGATCTGTTTCGCATAAATGCTTCGACGGGTGAAATATCGCTGCTGCGTTCATTGGATCGTGAGGCCAAGGCGGAATATACCCTGACGCTGGTTGCCATGGATACTGGTGAGTTGCATATTTTTTTTTTTCATTTTCCTACTGTTCATATGTATACAAAGTTGTAATATTTCGAAGCTATATTGATTATAATCTTTGGCCAAACAAGTGTTCAGCCATTAAGGCCATCTCGAGCTTGTAATGGACGGGGGAAATATGCAAAAAAAAAAAAAAAACACCACAAAGCAAAATCATAATTCAGGCAAAATCGCTGTAATATTTAAATGAGCCTCGGCAGCAACTTCACTGCATTGATGATGAGGATGATTTTTCCTACTGCCGTTTTAGCTCTTTTTTTTTGCCATTCTCTCCCTTATTTTTGTGACGATGTTGTTGTTGATTACAATCATTTCACTGAAAGAATTTTATTTTGCTTAAAGGCTAAATATTTTGTGTAGTTACTGGCTGCATCGTTTTAAGATCAGGAAAAAAGGAACAAACTAAAAACGTCCATAAAATTCTACATCGTTACACATTTTGCTTATAGTAATGATCGATATCGATATTATTTTGAAATATGTTTTAAAGATTATAATAATCGATGTACAGCGAGTCAGCAACCAGTGACCAGCAGGCTAATTTGGTATGCACACATACGTACATATGTCTACGAAGGACAAGATAAGGCCCGTAATTATATGAGGTTAACGATTCGCAAATCTTTCTAAATGCTTCTGCAGAAGTTATCTGGAGTGATGCAAACAAAAGTGCTTCCTGGTTAATGACAAAGAAATTTTCTATAGAATTCCATGATCTACAGAAGACCATGAGGTCTTCTATGGACCATGATGACTTCTATGATCGATAAAAGAACCTAAGGTCTTGTAGAAGAGCTGGAGGGGTTCTATGGTGGATAGAAGAGCTGGAGGTCTTCTATGGTCTATAGAAGAGCTGGAGGTCTTCTATTGCCCATAGAAGAGCTGGAGGTCTTCTATTGCACATAGAAGAGCTGGAGGTCTCCTATTGCCCATAGAAGAGCTGGATGGTTTCTATGGCCAATAGGAGACCTGGAGGTCTTCTATTGCCCATAGAAGAGCTGGAGGTCTTCTATGGTCAGTAGAAGAGCTGGAGGTCTTCTACGGTCTATAGAAGAGCTGGAGGTCTTCTACGGTCTATAGAAGAGCTGGAGGTCTTCTATGGTCTATAGAAGAGCCGGAGGTCTTCTATGGTCTTTAGAAGAGCTGGAGGTCTTCTATGGTCTATAGAAGAGCTGGATGTATTCTATGGTCAATGGAAGAGCTGGAGGTCTTCTATTGCCCATAGAAGAACTGGAGGTCTTCTATTGCCCATAGAAGAGCTGGAGGTCTTCTATTGCCCATAGAAGAGCTGGAGGTCTTCTATTGCCCATAGAAGAGCTGGAGGTCTTCTATAGTCCATAGAAAAGCTGGAGGTCTTCTATTGCCCATAGAAGAGCTGGAGGTCTTCTATTGCCCATAGAAGAGCTGGAGGTCTTCTATTGCCCATAGAAGAGCTGGAGGTCTTCTATTGCCCATAGAAGAGCTGGAGGTCTTCTATTGCCCATAGAAGAGCTGGAGGTCTTCTATTGCCCATAGAAGAGCTGGAGGTCTTCTATTGCCCATAGAAGAGCTGGAGGTCTTCTATTGCCCATAGAAGAGCTGGAGGTCTTCTATGGTCTATAGAAGAGCTGGAGGTCTTCTATGGTCTATAGAAGAGCAGGAGGTCTTCTATGGTCTATAGAAGAGCTGGAGGTCTTCTATGGTCCATAGAAGAGCAGGAGGTCTTCTATGGTCTATAGAAGAGCAGGAGGTCTTCTATGGTCTATAGAAGAGCTGGAGGTCTTCTATGGTCTATAGAAGAGCTGGAGGTCTTCTATGGTCTATAGAAGAGCTGGAGGTCTTCTATGGTCTATAGAAGAGCTGGAGGTCTTCTATGGTCTATAGAAGAGCTGGAGGTCTTCTATGGTCTATAGAAGAGCTGGAGGTCTTCTATGGTCTATAGAAGAGCTGGAGGTCTTCTATGGTCTATAGAAGAGCTGGAGGTCTTCTATGGTCTATAGAAGAGCTGGAGGTCTTCTATGGTCTATAGAAGAGCTGGAGGTCTTCTATGGTCTATAGAAGAGCTGGAGGTCTTCTATGGTCTATAGAAGAGCTGGAGGTCTTCTATGGTCTATAGAAGAGCTGGAGGTCTTCTATGGTCTATAGAAGAGCTGGAGGTCTTCTATGGTCTATAGAAGAGCTGGAGGTCTTCTATGGTCTATAGAAGAGCTGGAGGTCTTCTATGGTCTATAGAAGAGCTGGAGGTCTTCTATGGTCTATAGAAGAGCTGGAGGTCTTCTATGGTCTATAGAAGAGCTGGAGGTCTTCTATGGTCTATAGAAGAGCTGGAGGTCTTCTATGGTCTATAGAAGAGCTGGAGGTCTTCTATGTTCTATAGAAGAGCAGGAGGTCTTCTATGGTCTATAGAAGAGCAGGAGGTCTTCTATTAGCTATAGAAGAGCTTAACTTCTTCTATTGCCTATAGAAGAGCTTAACGTCTTCTATCGCCCATAGAAGAGCTGGAAGTCTTCTATCGCCCATAGAAGAGCTGGAGGTCTTCTATCGCCCATAGAAGAGCTGGAGGTCTTCTATCGCCCATAGAAGAGCTGGAGGTCTTCTATCGCCCATAGAAGAGCTGGAGGTCTTCTATCGCCCATAGAAGAGCTGGAGGTCTTCTATCGCCCATAGAAGAGCTGGAGGTCTTCTATCGCCCATAGAAGAGCTGGAGGTCTTCTATCGCCCATAGAAGAGCTGGAGGTCTTCTATCGCCCATAGAAGAGCTGTAGGTCTTCTATCGCCCATAGAAGAGCTGGAGGTCTTCTATCGCCCATAGAAGAGCTGGAGGTCTTCTATCGCCCATAGAAGAGCTGGAGGTCTTCTATCGCCCATAGAAGAGCTGGAGGTCTTCTATCGCCCATAGAAGAGCTGGAGGTCTTCTATCGCCCATAGAAGAGCTGGAGGTCTTCTATCGCCCATAGAAGAGCTGGAGGTCTTCTATCGCCCATAGAAGAGCTGGAGGTCTTCTATCGCCCATAGAAGAGCTGGAGGTCTTCTATCGCCCATAGAAGAGCTGAGCTGGAGGTCTTCTATCGCCCATAGAAGAGCTGGAGGTCTTCTATCGCCCATAGAAGAGCTGGAGGTCTTCTATCGCCCATAGAAGAGCTGGAGGTCTTCTATCGCCCATAGAAGAGCTGGAGGTCTTCTATTGCCCATAGAGGAGCTGGAGGTCTTCTATTGCCCATAGAAGAGCTGGAGGTCTTCTATTGCCCATAGAAGAGCTGGAAGTCTTCTATGTACAATAGAAGGGCTGGAGGTCTTCTATGTACAATAGAAGGGCTGGAGGTCTTCTATGTACAATAGAAGGGCTGGAGGTCTTCTATGTACAATAGAAGGGCTGGAGGTCTTCTATGGTCAATAGAAGGGCTGGAGGTCTTCTGTAACTCTAAGAATATTTAACAAATGTCCATATGTGCCTACTACTGTGAAGATTCATTAATTTCCACTGAATTTATCTGCGAAACAGAAAGCACAAATTAATTTTCCACCATCATATAACAATGGCAATTGTTTTTGTTGCTTTATTATGGATTCATAAGTAACATATGCATATTACCGTTATGGCTAAAACCAGCAATGTGGCTAAGTAAAGAAGGCAACCAAAAAAAAATCTGAAGATTCAAAGAAGTAAAATAACGATCATCAGTCGCACATAATATGCCACCAGGTTTATGTAAAACAATAAATTATACTGCAGTCACACACACACATGCATTCAGCATCAAGCTAGTAGCCTGGTAGAACAACTGCAGAACGTGCAATGATGCTGGTGAGTGAGGCTGGTGAGGGAGAGGTGGGCAACCATAAAGGAAGAGAATTCTTTTGGGCCATAGCATATTTGTCAAACTTACACTTTAAAATAATCATAAACTACCGAATGCATCAGCAGAAACAGCAGCAGCGTCAGCAAAAATTCCCTCAAAACAGCATTATTACTGATGGAGATGATTCTGTTGCTGCTGCTGGTGCTGATGATGTGGTTGTGGCATAGCTGCCTCTGATGTTGCTATGTCGACTTGCCTTGCCTGCACTTGCTCAAACTCAAATGGCAGCATTATTTGCCTGCACTCAACCAGTAAAGCAAACGCAAAATCACATGAAGAACGAACCAACAGCTCTTAACAAATTACAGTAATTATCAAAATGTATTTTAGTTTAAGGGCACACACATACACACACACACTCATACTCACCAAAGGCGGCCAAGGAGACGACGTCCACAATCGCTGCATGCTAAATATTAAAGTCACAAAAGACACAAAGTCAAGTTCCATGCAAACCGGGCAGATTCATATGTTAAGATAGGATGAGCGATGTTCTTTTTTTTTCCTCCTCTTCGTATGTGAAATGCTAATGTCGATGTGTTGGTGCTGGTGGTAATTTCCCCCCTTTGGATTGCAAATATGCATTTTTTGCCAAAAAGAATGTGGTGGGGTCACTCGGAAATATTGACAACTTTAAAGCATTTTTGATAGGCAACACCCCAATTTGATGATAAACTGAAGAAACATGATTTAAGATGGGGTTTTTCCGTATGTTCCAAGCCGGAGGCTAGAGCTTGTTTCTTTCTTTTTTCAATGGAATTTGTGACTTTTCTAAGAATTTTGGGGAGATTTGGTATATTACAAAATAGATCCATGATAAATATATTAATGAGGAACTTTGCATATAAATATAATGTTGAACTGTAGTAATAATAATATTGATAACTAGCCAGTGCTACTTACACCATGTGTATATTATTTCTATGACAAAATTTCCAAAAAACTTCAGACATCGCCCTTACTTTTCAGCTACACTAGTTATGATATTCAAGTTTTTTCTTTGTCAAAAAGGATAATCAAAAAAATATTCCTTTTTGATGTTTACAGAAGAGAATATTACTTCAACCCTTGTTAATGGTTCCACATCGAATTTCTCTGGAAAAAAATATTTCAAAGTCCTTTTATAATAAAA